GAGTGTTATTAACAATTCTCTTTTAAAAATTATTATTTCTGTAGTAAATAATAAATAAATAAAAAATCACCCACTCTCATGTACAAATTTATACTCAAATCTTATTATAATATTTTTTAACAACCACGTTCACTTAAAAACCTTAAAAAACAAATATAAATATAGAGATATACGAAAACCGAAATGTGTCTTTCCTGTAGCAGTAAGTTCTAAGTTGGATGTAAACCTGAAAAAGAAAGTGTAAAATTGTGGTGAATGGATAAGCATTAAAATCTTAAATAAAAATACATATAATTAAATTTAATTTAATATTGGTGTGAAGAGAAATAGTCGTGGAATTGTGTCCGTTTATTTTGTGAGTTTGGAAATGAAAAAAAGGTGTGAGAGAATGAATAGTTGATGGCATTGGAAGGTTGATTGAAGAACAGTGAGTGAATTGGATCGAATCGATGAAGAAGGAAAAGGAGAAGATTGTGAATGTAACAAGCCCTGTGAGTGGCGAAGACAGCGATGATAAGCAAAGCTCTTCCTTTCCCTCCGTCAGATTCTCTTCTCGCAACGGTTCCTCCAAATACGATTTCGTCAAGGTCTTCCAATTTCACCCTCTCTCTTTCTTCTCTCTTCCTTCTATTTCTTAACGCTTTCTTCCCGCAGGTCAAGGTTTGGTTGGGTGACAATGCCGACCACTACTACGTTCTCTCCAGATTCTTGCTCAGCAGAATGCTCACCGTAACCAAGGTATCGGACGCTGCTTTTCATCTTTCAATTCTCTTTCAATTTCTATGGATTGGACTTCATTTTCCCAAAATTAGTTACTGCATCGGATCATTTATTATTAGCTTGTTCCTTTCAGATTCCAAACCATGTAGCTATCAAAATTGCTCTTGAACTCAAGAAGCTGCTCATCGACAACAGCCTTCTCGATGTGTATGCTGTTTCGCTTCTCTCTCTCTGTTTTTGAATTAGTTTTACCAAAAAATTAATAAATAAATTATTGTGTTTCTGTGCTGCAGCTCTCAATCTGACTTGGAAGCCAACTTATTTAAGGTATGCCAAAGCCAAAATTTTGGTTTTATTTGTCCATCACACACAGTTAAAGTTTTCCTCCCTTTGGGTTCTTCTCTCTGTTTGTATGCTCTGTTGATACACACCACCTTGGGGAAATTTTGTGCGAACTTTCATCATTAGCTTTTTTTTGTTTGAACTAATGGTCAAGATTAAACTTTTGTGGACAAATATTACTTGAAGAATAAAATAGTGTACATCTATTTGCATGACATGTCTTTATTCCCCTTGCGTATTTACTTATACAGGAAACCTGTGTGTATAAAAAAATGTAGTCAATTGATTCTTTGTTTGGGACTGTCTCTTAATAGGAGGAAGTTGGATTTCATTATATATGTGCGGGAATTCCTCAAATTTCTAAATGCTGAGTTAACCTATAGAAATGTTCTAAGTGTGTGCCATATGTGCAGCTTATGGAGCGGCGGGGATATGGAGAAGAGTACATAAATCGTTACAAGATGATGACAAGGTAAGTATGCAATCTTTCTGGTTGAGACAATTTTTGTTCCTCCAAAACATGTAACTGTGTCAATATCTTATCCTCATTTTCTAACATAGACAAAATTCTGTTCTTATTTCCTTCCTTTCTTAAAAGATGATGATAAGATTAGCATGCATGCATGTATGTCATTTCTGTCTACATGTATATATGTATGCATAGACATTTCATCTTTATATATGTATGTATGTAAATATTTTCAAATTTGCATCTGTTTGAACAATATGTATATGTACATAAATGTTTGCAAATTGTGTCTAATTTTCCATATTCATGTTTCCTGGAAAAAAGAAATTACTTGAGGGGGGACACGTATTGTAGTAATATTGAGGCATTTTTCCATTTTCTTGCTTTCCCCATTTATCCAGATTTCACCATCAGAGAGTTCCGTTAGTAATCCTTGTCTGTGGAACTGCTTGTGTTGGGAAGTCTACTATTGCCACCCTGCTTGCACAGAGGCTAAATTTACCAAATGTATTACAGGTAGGCATTGAATACCTTTAATATAACTGCATCTTCTCACCACATACAATAAGGGCTCAATTAAGTGCAAGTTAACCAAAGTATCTCCAATTTGGTGTATCTAACAACCAAAGTGGATTCATATAGTCCTGGTTATCTATCTGGCACCTAATGGGAGTTGTCCCTTTATTTTATTTTGATAGTTTATATAGTATACAAAATTACAAATAATTTTGACATTTTTCTTGTTGATTCTGATAGACAGATATGGTTTATGAATTGTTGCGCACATCAACAGAGTATGTCCTGAACTTCTTTATTTCTTCCTAAAGCCGACTAGTATTTTTTTGATTGAAAGTTCTGTTTGTCTACACAGTTATTTATTCAACTGTTTTCATAAGGGACCATGCTAAGGCTACCTTTTGCCTAAAATTATTTACTTATGAAATCAAGCTCATGGATACACAAACACACTCAGCATTCATAATTTTATTACTGCATAGCAAAATCTATGTCTATTAATGCAATATTATGCTTGAATTCATATAGTATGGCTGAATTTTTAGTTTCTGTGTAAATTGATATATATTTTCATTTACGTGTTGATTTTTAATGCTATATTTCTCCATTTTTCCTTTGAATTTGTTCAGTACTGATGTTAGTAGGTGTCAGCATGAAAGAAATTGACAAATCTTAACTTTTATGCTGGCATGCTCATCTTTTGGCCTGTTGATTTTCATCTCTTTAATCACTGAAGTGATCAATAATTGCATATATTTATATATCAAATCTAAATGATTTTCTTGTTTATGATGTAGTGCACCATTGGCATCGACTCCTGTATGGGCCAGAGACTTTAGTTCGTCAGAGGAGTTAATAACTGAATTTTGCAGAGAATGCAGGGTTGTTCGTAAAGGTTTTCTCAGTTGTTTCTAGCTTGAGTTCTTTATCATTTTCTAAATTTAATTTGGTTTTCATCCATATAAGTAGTCCATTTTTTTATAGAATGCCATGGATATTTCATCCATATAAGTAGTCCATTTTTTTTTTAGAATGCCATGGATACTTGATTGTTTTTAAATGTTAAATTGGCAATTGATTTCTAGGTTTGGCTGGTGATCTGAAAAAGGCAATGAAAGATGGGAAGCCAATAATTATTGAGGTATGTATCAACATGTATTTAATGGAAGGTTCCTTGTATACCCTGTTTAACATCCTTGCAGTTTTTAGATTGGTCAATCAATTTTTGATTAGTTTATTTCATAAAATACTAACCATGAGTAGATGAACATTTCTCTGTTGATGACTACTTCCACAAAATCTCGAGATAATTATGATAAAAAAGCATTTGTAGTTTTATAGTGGACAACGTATTTTTTTCTCTTTTAAATACCATTACCTTTTAGGAAAACAATCAAAAATTGATCCAAAGTATAAGGGTCCCGTAAAGGCTGTCCCAGAGGAAAGTAGCTGTCTTACAGTGCAAGAATAAATGGTGTATTAAATTTTTCTTGCACTTTCAGTTTCATAGATTAACATATATGCAAAATTGGGTTTGGTTTGGTCGATGTAGAAATATATGTTATCCTGAAAGCTGCCAATTGGTTACTTACAGTATTAAATCTCCATATTTTCTCTCACCTCCCTGTTCTCTTCTTTCATGTTTCTTTATTTTTCTGTCCTGTAGTAGGGTTTGGTGGCTTAGTCTATACCCACTCAGTTCTAAATCTTAAAAAATTCAATATATTCTGACACTTATAAATTAGTTATTTACATTTTACAGTATTACACCACTCATCCTTTTACAGATGAAAACAAATACTTGATATGTGGATGGATCATAGAGAATTATTGTTATGGGTGTTTCTCTATTTTCGTCTTTCCTTTCCTTGTAGAGAGATATTTTGTTTTTCCCTTTTTCTGTACCTATTTCAATTTTTTATACTATTTTTTCTTTTATTGATAGAAATAAAACACACAATTTGAAACCTTTGTTTTCATACCTTAAATAATTGAAGATACTGTCAGATGAAATCAAATAATTAAAAAAAAAAATGATAATTTCATGTGACTTTGGTCTCCCATAAATATGTCCAATTATATTTTGTTGTAATAATTAGGTTTTTTTTTTTTTTTAATTTTATATCATGCAGTCAAAGTGTTTCTCTCAGTGAGCTCTCATTTTTTTTTTGTTTATGTGTTCATAATGACAGGGAATACATTTGGATCCTAGCATCTATTTAGTGGACGATGAGAATAAATCACCTTCTGGTGTACATTCAGAAAATAAAGTGATAAATCCAGCATCTGTGACAGTAGATGATAGTGCTACTATACAAGAAAAAAATATTCATGAGGGTAGCAGTGATGAGAATAATGGTGGCTCCAAGATTTTGAGCTCTAATGAAGGAGTATCTACTGACCAGGTTGATTCAGTATCAAATTCTATGGCATCCATGGGCCTCATTGAAAGCATCTCTGAACATAAAGGTTGGTCTGTTTTATTTGCCGTATTTTAGTGCTGATTACTTTATTACTAAGAGATAAGCAATAATATGAATGTTGGGCATTGTTTCAATTTTAAAAAATAAGTTTGCCTTGTAGGTGCTTCTCTTAGGGAACTGGAGACAGACAAACCTGCTATTAGTAAGGCGAAGTCGGGTCCCAAACCAATAATTGTGCCTATTGTTTTGAAGATGGCTGAATTTGATCATAAGGTTTTCTCTCATTCTCCATTGTTTTTGTGAAAGTGACAATTATGCGCATAAGTGTTTTTTGTTTTCACTTGTTGCACGTCTGACTTCAGGAACTTATTTGGTTGTCCAAGGTTACAGACAGGTCCTGTGTATCTCTAGGATGTTTGTGTTCCAATAGTGCATGAGGAACTTAATGCAGTCAATGAAAATAATAATACTGTTTATGGGTTGATACATGGATTTACAACAATTGTAATATTGACAATGACATGGAAAAGAAACAATAACTGTGGTCTCGGTGTTTTCTTAATTGTTGCCTTCTTCTGTCCTATGTCAATAGTAGTAGGATAGGTTGAATTTCTTGAAAACAACTTAGGTCAAGTGCACAAGTCTTGCTACATGCACAAGTCTTACTCAATCAAATTCCACCTTATATTTCAAAAAAAATCAAATAATCTAATGATACTCATCTTATTCATACCCTATTTGCAGGCGTTACTTGAGGAATGGATCACCTCTCGCACATTTAATGACAAATGTCCAGACCTGGTACAGTATTTTATCTTCTTGTAATACGATTTATACTGCATAAATAAGACTGAAACAGGAAAACACATTGAGACAACTAGGCTTGCCAATCCTGTTGTGAACAACCATCCAAGACACAAAAAAAAAAAAGAACCATAAGGAGTTCACATAAACTTGTATTAGATTGGGACTCAATCTGTCTCAACTCTTTCTGAATTTTGTTGTTCAATTTTCAGGATAATGAGAAGCTTGTAGCCAACTTGAAAACCATACAGGATTATCTGTGCTCATTCACGTCACAGGTATGCCCAAAACATATACTGTCATATTGATTATCGGAAATTTTAGTGGAAAATCCTTTTTTCTGGTATGTTGTTTGTTTTGATGATAACCAAGACAATTTTGGACATTTTTCCAATTCAAATTGTTCTATATCTACTTGTTCTATAGTTTTCTTTTTACCCTTTGTTTCCATGGTGAATTACTTCCATTTATTAACTAATGAATGTGAAACGATACAAATATTATTCACTGATTGTTGAATTACCTAAAGCCCTTATAAATTTAAGATTTGAATTTTTATCATCTGTGATTATTTTTCTTACTTAAATTTTTGCTATCTGATGTTACAGGGGTTGACTGTTGTCAATGTATCGGCAACAACATTTCCTCAAACATTGGATTGGCTGCATGGTTACCTTCTTCAGGTAAAATTTTTATAGATGCAATATTTGGATCTTAAGAGTATATTTATCTTCTACTACTCAATATTCAATATTGCTTTAGGATTGATGGGAGAAGTTTATTAGAAAAGAGAAAGAAGTGCAGAGAAAGAGAACGATGAGATATCCTCCTTAACCAAAATATTAAATAAATAGCATAATGACGTCATGAAAAGTGAAATGGTCATGTTTTGGAGTAATGAAACCTTTTAGACATTCTTATCATGGTAGCATGCATGCAAGGACTGAAAAGCTAGTGTGTTTAACTATTAATGCTCTACTAAAAATACATAGCATTTTTATTATTAAAATTCTTCTCTTGCAAATTGGAGTTGTCCAACTATAGGCTGATATTTTTACATGCTTCTTAGAGCGTTTTGTTGACATCATAAAATTAGTCATGTATTCCTTTTCTTCAGAAATGACTTTAAATTTCTTTCAGTGCATCGAGCAAGGTATTAAAGAAAATGTTACACAAGTAGTTGCAGCATAGCTCATGTAATGAATGATTCCAATTTTGACAGGTATGCAAATGACAGTCATTAAATTTTACTTCTGTTGTAGTCTTCTCCAAGGTCTTTGTGCACTATGAATATCATTGACCAAAGGGTCAACTGTTTAGAGTTTTTAGGTAGGCATGTATGACTGACGATACATTCTGTTGACTTTTTAATCAAAAGGTTATTGGGTATGCGAAACTGCGCCCCATATTATAAATTCAATTCTAGTTCCAACCCTGAATGAAGCATTCAGTTATATATCGGCCATTTATGAATTTTACCTTTTTTAATTAGACTATATTGGAGAATTATCTTTCCCATTTATTATAATTACCTCTCCAATTATTCAGAAATGGTTTCTAGATTCAACCTGACGTTGTAAATGGATGATGCTGGAGAATAAATTATCAAATCAAAAGGGAAGTACGAACATGTTCAAAACCATCTACTCAACTGATCGCCAGCCCAGTCAAGATCATGACTTTTGGGAAAAAAGAGATCAGCATGCCCGCTCAAACAGATGTTGTAATTATGGCATTATCTAAATTTGCTAATTGCTACTAAATTATTTGTATGATTATGTGTTTGGATGAAGAATTTTATGCTTCTATTCCATTGTGTTGTGAGTAGTATGCTAATAAAAATAATAGCATAGCTAGTTAATCTTAAATTACCCATCTAGGGGGCTCTGCCTTTTGTGCAGTATTTGATTTGCTTTGATGGCTTTTTACCTCTTGAAATTATTTATCCGAAATGAATATTTAGAGATGCCTAAAAGAAAAAATGATTATTACTATTATTTAACCGTTTGGCTGAAAAGTTCTATTACGACTTAGATGACGGGCTAATGGTGGAAGGTGGACAGATGCAAGAGAACTGGAGTGGTTGACCTTCGGCGGAAGAGGATTTCGGTTTTTGTTGAATAAAAAGAATCCTCCATCCAATGGAATGGGGAAAGTGAATGACAAAGGTAAGGAGAGAAGGAAATATGTTTCCAAACTAGTTTTTTTAAAAGAATGTTCTTGGGGGAATAAAACATGGAGTGTATAAATAAAAAAGTCATAAGTTGAAAGCGGAAATTATATTTTTGAAAAGTTATATTAGAAATCCGGAGTGTGTTACTCGTCTACTACACATCTCATTAAAAATACATTTTTAATTTCTTAAAGCATTTTTTCATAAAAAAAAAAAAAGTGATAAGCAAAACTCATAATTATATTATGTTACTCAACAAGAGAATACAAATTCTTTGGGTTATTTATTTATCTTGATCCGGTGATACCTATGTTAGAATACACGTCTGCATTTTACAACTTTAGTTAGCTGATTTCAAATATAATATCTATGTCTTGTAGTTTTTTTTTTTTTTTTTTTTTTGGTGGG